GGCGGAGGGGAAGCCCGGCGGGCGGGCGGGCGGGCTGCTTGGAGGAGGCGACCCGGTGGCGCTCCGGGCTTCCCCTCCGCCGCGCGGCTCGGGGCCAGGCGCGAGCGCCTGCGAGGAAAAAGGAAGCCGCAAGTTGCTGGGAAGTTGCTCGGGTGCTGGGAGCAGGCTTTTAAAGTGCCGAGCAGGACCGCCGAGCCGGGAAACGGGGCACCAAGGCAGGGCAAGGCTCCACCAGCAGCGGCCTAGCTTTAGGTGGCTCCAAGCAGCCCTCCCACCCACTGGGCGGAACCCTTCCCGCTCCTCGGCCGGAAGACGCTCCCGCCTGCAAACTTTGCCTTTGCAAAGTTTAAGCCTGGAAGCCCCGAAAAAAAAGGGATCGGCGGGGACTCACCTTCGGAGAGGTCGCATTCGAAGGTAATTTCGAACTCCCAGACGAGGCCTTTGCAAAGTTCTTCTTTTCTTTCCTACCCCGAGAGCGCTCCGCACTGTTTTGCAGCTTTGGGGGCCACGTGGCGCAGGGCAATACACCACGCCCAGCGATTTTTTTTCAGGAGTGGGCCGGATTGAACAGACCAACGGGCCGGATGTGGCCCGCGGGCCGTAGTTTGCCCACCCCTGATCTAAACCAATGGCAAACCTTTCCTTCTGATTCCATCCCCTCTTTAGATTTGAAGATAGGATCTCCATAATTGAAATATATCATTTGACCATAAGTCCACCAGTCTGGCCTTGCCCCCATTTCTTTTCTAAAAAAAGCTTCCTGGGGAGACACATATGTCAGAAGTGGCTTGCCATTGTCTCCTTTCTATGGCTGAGAAAGAAGTGACTGTCCCAAGGTAGTTCAGCTGGTTTCATGCATAAAGCTGAAGTAGAAGCAGTCCCTTGGTTTCTAACCTAATGCCTTAACCACTACACAAAACTGGCACTGAAATCTGATACTATTACTTTCAATACTCCAAATTTGTTTGGACCCTGAATTTATTGATATTTCCAAGTATTCTAAGTCTGTGGAAAGCTGACATCTTATAGATTTGCTTGTAGATAATGTTATGAGCCATGGTGGTGTAGTGGTTAGAATGCAGTATTGCAAGGCTAACTCACTGCTCAGAAGTGCTCATTCCAGGAGTTCAATTCTGAACAGCTCAAAGTCTTCCATCCTTCCAAGGTTGATAAAATGAGGACCCAGATTGTTGGAGGTAATATTCTAACTCTGTAAACCATTTAGAGAGGGCTGTAAAGCACTGTGAAGTGGCATATAAGTCTAAATGCTATTGCTATGAAAGAAGAGACATCTGTTTGCAACCCTAATGAAGAGCTACCAAATGTGTTTATATTTATGTTGAAGATTGGAAGGCACTCCTCTATACATTTCATTTATTTTTCTTTATTTTTCTTAAGTTTCCTTTCTTTGTATTTTTTCCTCTCTTTTGATTATTTCACTATAAATAGTTTGCATTTATAATGAAATAACTTAAATAATTTAATTGCAATTGAAATCTTCAATAAGATTTATATAGAGAAAATGAATTTCGGTCATTCTGAACTAATGAAATTTGGAGTAAGTAGAATTTCTTATCATTTCTTTTTTCCATTATTAATTTTCCCAATAAGAAACAGATATTTTGACTGCAATTAAGATTTGTATTATCCCAAGCATACATCTATGTGTGTCATTAACTATTTTTATGTCCCAGCCCTCCAAACTACTCATTAGAATCACATTATGCTAGAGAAGAGTTTTTGGAAATCTTATCTGGCTCTGTTCCAGTGCAGGAATCTACTGGTATACTATCATACTAGTAGCCAGACAGCCTCAAATTCTCTGGGCCATGGTGGTAAAGGAGATTTCTCCATATTCTCAAGCTGTGTGTTTGTTAAATAGCTTTTATTATTACTATTTTTTCCTGCTATCCAAATATAATCTACCTCCTTTTTGAACCCACTGTTTCTATGTCTTTCGAACAATTCAGAATGATTTTTTTATAGCTCTTCAGACATTTGAAGATAACTATGTCTCTACCCAGAGTACTTTCTTCTGTAATTTAAAAACATACAATATTCTTCTTTTCCCTCCCCTTTTTCCCTTCCATGCCTTATTATCTTGATTGGTTATTTTTCCTCCTTTTTTATCTGTTTCTGATGAACCGCATGGCTTGGATAGAAGATGCATGGTGATAATATGTGTTTTATGTGAATATGCAGGAATATAATTTCTGAGAGTAAAAGGAAATGCCCAGAATATACAGATAAAAGGTCCACTGTATCTATAACAGTGTACCTTGGTTTTTTATGAATTAATTGTAATCAGTTATTACAAAATAACTTACTTATTATAATGATTCTGTTTGATTGTCTTCTATTTGCTCTGATTTCATATGTAGGTGCTTGATATGTGTGTATGTGTGTGTGTATAGGATGGTTCAGACTGGTTCAGGCAAACTAGATATTTAATTTGTATCTGGTTCACCGAACCAGTATTTGAACTGACCAGCTGGCCCCACCCACACCTCCCCTCCCAGGAGTCTCCACACAGCCCATTTTCGATGCAGGTAAGTGCAGGGTCCACACAGAGGCTCTGAGAGGGGAAAATGGGACTTCTACTGGATGTCCGGAAATGGGCCTGTTTCCAGCTTCCAGTGGGCCTCCAGAGCCCAGGGGAGGCCATTTTCACCCTCCCAGAGGCATGAGGCAAGCTTCCGGACTCTTGGGAAAGTGAAAAACAGTCCTCTGGAAGTACTGGAAGTCTAGAAACCAGCCTGTTTCTGGCTTCTGGAGGGCCTCCAGAGCATTTTTAGTATTATGGATCAACTTTTAAAGCCTATAATTTTACTTGAAGATGTATACTATATTAATGACAATTCTTGATATTGATTTTTAGTTTAGAAGTGAATAGTTATATTTAGCCTATTTATGATCTTTTATTTTAAAACCATACTTTCCCTGACATTTCCAAATCTTTGATCATTCATTTATATTTGTAAATTTTCCTTTGTCTAAGAAGTACAGTAATTTTAACTTTTATTCTCATTACAAGAAGTTAGACTTAAAAGGAAAAAATCTAAACCTAAAAAGTCACAGTGAAATTCACACAAAATTATTCATATTAATACAAATTGTATATTTTGATTGTAATAATAAAATAGTTAATTTACTTTAAACTAGTAAAATTTAACACCATCAACAATAAAGTATTGAAAATGTAGATGTTTAGAAAATAAAAAATTAATGAGATTAATTAAGTGGTGTATCATGACATCTGCTTTTCTCTGCTTCCCTTTCTCATCTATCTGGAAGTTGTATTTAAACAAAAATCAGGAAAAGCATGGATTTTCCCCACCTTTTATTACCACAAGTTTGTGTACATGGTTGTATGTGCTCATGTATGTGTAATAGAGGTTGGTACATTCATAGTGCATCTGTGTATGTAGGAGTCTAATCAGGGTAGCTGCATATGTATTGCATTTTAAGCATGTTTCTGCTCTCCCCTTGTATTGTGTCTAGATATTTTTATAAGACAATATATTGGAAACACAAGGGATATTACATGTATTCCACTATGAATCATATGACCCAAAGTATAAAGGAAAATCTAGAATGGAACAGTTGGCAGCATTTGAAGTTGCTGCTCAGCCTGGATTCAGGGAAATACTTTAAACATATTTCCCCCCTATTTTTCAGAACTGAATTATCTGGATCCATCTGCAATTTTTCTTTACACCAAATTACTGGTCTCAATCCACTTTGTTTTCTCAGAGATATATTGGTGACAGACAGATGGTCAGACAAGGCCTTGAGCCATTCTGTGAAAATATTTTCCAAAAATTTTTTGTGTTAGAAATGGAAGAAAATACCAGTGGTGTTTGACAAACTATTTAAATATCTTAGAGAACCATATTCAAAAGAAACATTCAGTACATTTAAACTGTATTACAAATAACATCATACCGGTAATTTAATTTTTACACATAGAAGTGACCAGAGACTGGAAAAAAATTCACCTTTTAATAATATGAAAAATTGCTTATTTCACCAATTTATACATTAATATGTGGTATTCAGTAGGTTCTGACCAGTTCTGGAGAACTGGTAGCGGAAATTTTGAGTAGTTCGGAGAACCAGCAAATACCACCTCTGACTGGAGATTTTACAGTATCCTTCCCCTGCCACACCTACCAAGCCACACCCACAGAACCAGTAGTAAAAAAATTTGAATCCCACCACTGACATAGGTCTGCAAGTTTGCAAATGTGGCTTCCACTCAACAAATATTGCACAACCTTTTGTCTGAAATGGCATAGGATTTCCTGCCTGAGAATGGGGTTGGACTAGAAAATCTCCAAGATCCCTTCCAACTCTGTTATTCTGTTAAATATGATTCTGGCTGGGGGGAGTTGTCATATGATTCATATTGCAGAAATAAAGAGCTGTTATACTTCCAATATAAGCCATGTCAAAAAACAACAACAATTCACCGGGAATGACTGAAAGTCTATTTTATTAATTCAAACAGAATCTTGAAAGTGTTTTCCTCTTCTTCTTTTATATCCAAGAGGGCTACGTTTAAGATTTTTATCCCACCCTTATTCCAGCCCCCATCTCTTCCTCTTATGGGATTTACCCAAATTCCCCCATACAGGAAATTAACTGTTTTGACTTTATCTGTTCCATTATTTTCAAGGTACTTTGTTTAATGGACTTGGACTTGGTGCAGTCATTGGACTGGGTGTAGCTGCTCTTCTACTAATACTTGTGGTGACTGACGTCAGCTGCTTCTTTGTACGGCAGTGTGGATTGCTAATGTGCATCACTAGAAAGATCTGTGGGAAAAAGAGTGGGTCCAGTGGGAAGAGTAAAGAGCTGGAAGAAGGAAAGGCAGCATATTTGTGAGTATTAGTCACAACACTTTGAGAAAAAAGAATATACACTGGTAATTTGCAAATAACATACAAACTGTATGTGGTATCTCATGAGCTGTAAGGATTGTGCTTCAACAAATGTTCTCTAACTTTTACTTAATGTTGTTTACTTTCTGCAGCTCTAATAAAATATTGTGAGATAGAGTTTGGGAAATCTTTCAGATTGACCTTAACAAAAATCATGCTTATATTTTTGTTCTATTCACTCAAAACTACACAATTCTATCATTTTGGGCAGCAAAACTTGGTATTTTGATATAATTCAAATCAGAGAAGATATGAATTGATATGCTCTGTGCCCTTTTTTCACACACTTTTATCCAGTGTTGTTCATTTGTGCATTTTTTCCACATCAAATCTAGTCCTGAACTGTTCAGTTTTAAAGAGTTATCTTACCACAAGATGTTTCTACTTCAGTAATCCTTAGCAAATCTACCAATCAAAAATCATATGCCAGAGCTGATTTTACATCAATTTTTACTGCAGTGAACCACGTGGTCTTGAATGAATCATAGTCATTCAGTGAATCTGACTTGTCCTATTGATTTTGTTGAAGCCAGCTAGGAAGATCACAGATCATAATTGTGTGGCTGGTTATTCATTTTATTTTACATCTTTTGCTTCAAAAAGTTGTCACTATTATGAAATCTGGAAAGCTCATCCATCCTGCTTGCCAGTCAATTGTTAGAAGAAGTAGATATGTTTTAAAAAGTTCCTATTATCTGTCCTATTTTATTAGAGGCTTACAGGAAAGCTTTTCATTCTCTTTTGTGATGAAGCTAACGTCATGGTTATTCTTAAAGAAGACAAGGGATTTCATTATGTGTTCTAATATAGATCTCTATGTTTGATAAATTTGGATGCTAAGAGAGTAATAGCTACTTCTTCCATGGATATAGGATTATTATTTTTAATTATAATGCACTTAGAAAGAAAGATATGTTTCTGATAAGTGATGTTCTTGCTTTAACTTAAAGGAACAAGATGCTAACAAAGACTTTGTTATGGCTTCTTGAACTGGAAATTTTGTGTTTCTCCAAATTTTAAAGTCTTAATTTGATATGATTTATTAAAGGGAAAGGGATCTGTGGGAAAAATTTAACTTTCTTTAAATTTCTCGACAGACTACTCAACATTTGTTTTCTTGATTATTTGAATAAAATGCTTTTGCCACTTTTGAAATTTATAGTTAGAAAAATTATCTATGATTCCTAAGTCACTTATTTTCTTGATAAGAAGTTCAAGATGAATTATGGGCTTCTTATACAGTTCCTAATAGAAATTGGTTCCTTCTGATCTTAAAATACAATATAATAGAAGAACAAAAAATAAAATTTGTATATATTGGGTACCTCAGAATGTTTAATGAGACCTAATTCAGAAGTGGTATTCAGCAGGTTCTGACCAGTTCTGGAGAACTGGTAGTGGAAATTTTGAGTAGGTTGGAGAACCAGCAAATACCACCTCAGACTGGCCCCGCCCCCATCTATTCTCTGCCTCCCAAGTCCAAGCTGATTGTTGTCCAGCACAGAAGAACAGAGCTGGAAAGCAGATTAGTGGAGTGTGGAGGGAATGGGGATTTTGCAGTATCCTTCTCCTGGAGTGGGGAGGGAATGGAGATTTTACAGTATCCTTCCCTTGCCACCCCCACCAAGCCAAGCCACACCCATCAAGCCACACCCACAGAACCAGTAGTAAAAAAATTTGAATCCCATTACTGACCTAATTAAAACAGTTTTACTATTGGAGAAATTCATAAATTAGAATATTGAAACATATAGCTTGGCTTCATCATATTCTTTTTTCATCATAGTTTACATCAGGAAGGTTGTTAACATAATTCTGGCTCAAATACTGTATGTTGAAGTTCTATGTGCATAAGTGTATATTCTTGTTTATATCCTGAATATTTGAAATATATCAAGAACTGTGGATTTTGAGACATAAAATTTGGTTAAAAGAACTATATTAAAACACTGGAAGGAAAAATCTACAAGGGTATGAAGCATATATTGTTGGCTTGTGTTATTGTCAGCATTTAAATTAGTTTTCCCTACTCCCACAAGGAAAATAGAAAGCTTTCAAACAATATAGCAGTTTTTTCCCAAGATGTTGTATTAAGGTCTCTTTTCCATTTTTTTCTCTTTTATTATTATTGACTTATGATAATCAAAATTTTAAATAATATTACTTAATAGCATTGTTATCTATTTTTAAAATTATATTAGCATAATGAAATTATTCTATTAAAAGGTTGATTTATTTGAGGAAGAGCCATAGGTCAATGGCATAGCAGTTATTCATTATAGAAGGATAGAATTATCTTATGTTATATTATGATGCTATGTTATGTTATGATATTAATATTTACTAAATTTATATTGCCCGTTTCACTATTGAATGACTCTCGGAGGCATATACACATATGTTATTTCTACTTAGAACAGGGAAATCATCTTTTCTGAAACTGATTGTTATGCTGAACAATCTGTATTTTTAAAATAAATATAGCGTAAAGTATATTAATATTCATCTTAATATTTATTTCAACCTGTGTGCTTGAAACAGGCTTTGGATAAGGTATAAACAATGCTTGGAATAGTAGTAAATGTTTTATCAAGTAATTACTGAATTGGTAATTTATAAACTGAGCATCACTCAACTGGATTGATGTAACGTGTTCTATAGGGCAGTTTTTGGAGATATCCTAAGGTACAACTGGTCTAGCAGAACAATTTCATGACTGCAAGCTACACCAATACTTCACCTAAAGTCATTGTACTGTTCAGCAATAGGCTTTTGGCCAATTCAGATATTGGCAATGACCTAGCTAGCATATAAAGCATACAATCATATAAGGATGGATCTCAAGAAATATCTCTTTTTCAGAATTGAATCCAGTGAGAACATCTCAAGAAAGTATTTTCTCTATCAGAAATGAACAGACATGATATAATAGATTTTTCTTTTGATGTCCTATACACTTTAGAGCTTTTTCCTCCCAGAACTCTGTAAAGCTGTTTCTTCAGTTGCCTTTCATGATAGTTAAGATCAGCTTTATTTAATAGTGTTTGATTGGGTGACTGAATATGTGTCATCAAATCAGTGTTGACTGTTCGTGACAACTCTGATTATTTGTCCATAATCTGATCCTTAGGTGGTCCAACAACATATCCATCACCAGTATAACTGTGTTTATCTACTTTGGCTGTTGATCGTACTCTTCTTTTTCCTTCATCCTAACTTAGCATTAGAGCTTTCTCCAGGGAGCTTTGTGCCTGATAATTGAGCTTTCGTCATTTCTACTTCGAGTAAGAATTCTGGGTTGATGATGATTGACAATATAATGATAAACGATAGGTCTCTTTAATACAACTATGTTTTATTTAAATTTATCTCATAGAAAGGTTGATTTATTCTTTCAAATAATAAATATAAATAAATAATAGGTAATATAGATATTTGATTTATTTTTATTGATGCTACTATAATTTTAATTTTTATTAACTCATCCAATATGTTTTCAGTTGGACATGGTATAAAAGTGATGCAAAGGCAAAAAAATACATACATGTTTTAATGTAATTTTGAAAAGATTGCTTGGAGTTGTTTCTTCTGTTAGGCTACTACTTAAGCCTGAAAAAGTATTGCTTTAGTGTGCAAACTGATTAAAACAGCCATGACTTTAATAGGACTGATGAAAGTAATTATTATTTTTTTCTCCAGATTTGTGAAAAAAAATGTTAAAAAAAGGACATAGCTTTTCATGTCAAAAATGCATTGCATTTAATATGCATATTCTAAAATATCCTTTATGGAAATTTTAGTGTCATAAACAAGTTGTCTGTTTAGTAATATTTTGATACTTCAACAAGTATTCTTGTGGCATTTTGAGAATTGATAAATATATCTAAGCATAAACTTTCATGGAATAGGGTAATAAACATCACCATTTTTAAATTAAAACATTAGTTCATTAAGTATTTTTACCTTTATTTTTACTTAGGAAAGATGGATCAAAAGAACCAATAGTTGAAATGAGAACAGAGGACGAAAGAATTACCAATCATGAAGATGGAAGTCCAGTAAATGAGCCCAATGAAACAACACCATTAACAGAACCAGAGTATGCAGTTTGATATATTTTTTAGTAATTTCATAATTAGGGTTATTATTAATTAGGGTTACAATGAGGTTTCAGTGTGGCTTGGTATTTAAGTTAAAAAAAAGTTTTAGTTCTACAGATTTCATCTAATATATAACTAATTCTCAAAGGCCCTGTACCTATTAAATTTACTAGCGGTAATTGATAGGGTGACAAAAATCAAATTAAGGTATTTCATTTTAATCTATTACTAAGTGTGAAATCAATTTAAAATCCATGTTGTAAACTTTAAATATAATCTATAAATATCTGTGGCTGGTTTAATATATTAGAAAACAGTTATTTTAAGTCATATAAAACTGAATTATATCATATTTGAATACTATAATATAGAACTTTTTAAATATACAATTTTATTATTATGTAAACTGAAAAAATGCATGTATGTAAATAGGGTTAAATATGCACTTTCTAAATAAAGTACATCTATTTATGCAAAACCATTCACACAATTAGCCATTGTTAATAGTTATTAAAGTGTAAGTAATAGGCATGGAATACACCTTCAAGTCTGGATGGAAAGGGAGAACAAAAATGGTATTAATACTGAATTGAATAATTGGATTTGTTTATTTAATCTTTGTATCTTTGTTTTATCATAGTAAACCTTTGATTCAAGTATGTTTATTTGAATATACATAATTATATAATGAATATATTGGGAAAAGAGAGGATGAGATTCTGCCTAGAAAACAATCAGACAAGTGTTCCCTGAATTATTTGTTCAATCAGATTCTTATTCAGTTGCCAGGCATGAATACTAGGAAGATTAGCAAATATTAGTACCTTGGGTTTTGCATTATTAAAGTAGTGCTTCTATACTAAATTATGACAACAGAGCATTATTTGCATATAGGAGAATTTTAAAGTATCCATCCTTCAATTCTGGGAGATGATAAACTAGATTATTTATCTTAGCCACCAGAGAATTGGTTTATACTCTTGGCTAACTCTTCTGCCAACAGTACTTTGCTTTGTGTAATATTTCCTCACAGTGCACCTAACTTTTACACTAGAGTTCTTACTGAGTTTAAGAAAAACAGCTGACCAACTATGCTAGAGTTCTCAGGTTTATACTAAAATATTTGTCAAAAACAAGGTCACAACTTAATCTGAAGTTAATAAAAGATGAATATGTTGCAGATCCTGGCCTAAAAGTATATTTTTCGGCTAGATATTAGAAAATAAAGAGCTTCATATAATGTCAAATATCCAACTCTAAACCCTGTTTGTTCTTCATCCAAAATATATTTTATTTTGTCCACTATAAAAGTATGTTGTACAATAACTAGTATAAAATTTAGTTATTATACTGAGGAATCAAATGGATTGATCGTTAGCAGGAAACATTGATTGGTTATATTATAGGATAAAACTATCACAGCTAAAGCATGCAATATAACTTCGAGATAGTTCTTGATGCTCCAATTTTATATTAAAAACAACTCTAGATAGATGGAAGGTATAAAACAATAGATATAATTTGGATTGGGAATATACAGTATCTGAGAGGTGGAGCAATGAATACAAAATATGTTGCCAAATGAAATATGAATTCTGTATCAAAACTGTTTTCCAACTGTAATACCTTTTGTTTTTGTTTTTTATTTACCTTAGGAAATTACCATTAAAGGAAGAAAATGGAAAAGAAGGTTTAAGTTCAGATACAATAGAGATCAAAGTATCCAATGATATCATCCAGTCAAAAGAAGATGATAGCAAAGCATAAAACAACAACAGCTATCTAGAGCGGCAAAAAGGCATGTGGATTCTAATAAATCTGTGACCAAAACTTTACATTTGACCTTCATTTTTTGGCAATTTAAGAATAATTAATGGAAGTAGTTTGGTCTACTTCTGTTGACTGTCTATTTTCATTTTAATTCAATAGTTTTAGTCTGTAGTCCTGGGCGACATCAATACCATGGTCTCAGTTCAGCAAGTCAACCAATATAAATACTGTAATTTATTTTTTGCTGAAGAAATTGAAATTATTTATCAACTATTATGATACCCTCTTAGCCACAGACTACGCATAAGATAGCTGTACTACTTTTAATGGAATTAAACTCATGAGAGAAAGTGCCATAGAAATTTATATTTGTTTGCAATTTTAAAGATTTTGTTGCCTTTATATAAATATATATAAATGTCAGATATAAACTAGGTTTATGTGGCTGGATGATTGCAGCTGACCCTTTACATAAGAGTAGATTGAATGTTTTCAGGGTATTATCCTTGTACTTCAAATCAATTATTAAAGAGAATGAACCATTCAAAGGTTTGATGTACAGATTTTAACCAAGTTGTGAACTATTTTGATGAAAATATTGAACATATCCTAACTTCAAAATCCACAGAAATTTCAGTGCTTTGGATATTTTGTATTTATGTTTGAAAAATTGTGTGTAAGCTAAAAATGTTAAAACTTATTTTGTGTAAAAAAAAAAAAAAGCCAAGAATCCTGACTATGACCATAGCACTCAGCTTCAAAGAACTCTTATAACAATAAATGCAAGCTCCAACTGAGTTATCTCAGTTGTGGTTATAAAACATAATATTGTGCAGACTTTCTTTTCATTCATTTAGTGAAAAAAGCATCACTTTTATTAAAACCTATCAATACTGCCAAAGCATATTTTCAGAAAGCTACTTGGCCCTTTTTCATACTTCCACTACATATAAACCCAATCTAAAAGTTGTGTAGCATGCAATAGGAAATACCTATTGGGTGGGCAGGGCTTTGGCAATATTCATTCTATAAGACGCACAGACATTTCCATCCACTTTTTTGTGGGGGTAAAAGTGTGTCTTATAGTGCGAAAAATACAGTAATACACAAGAAAGAAAGGATTAAATATTTCTTATATCTGTATAACCAGTTACTTACTTTCATTCCAGACCTAAGTAGGCAATATAAGTAATGAGAGATCTTATATTTTTGCTTCTTTTAGTTTGTGATAATAACAATAAATACTTCAAACTGGAATAGCTACCAGGAACATCTATATTTTATTATTTGGGGAAAAATGCTCTTCCTAATTCACAGATACCAAATATATTTAGTTATTCACTCTTTGACTTAACAGTAGTATTACCTCAGCCAGAAAAAAAGCACTTCTGAAAAAACTGAGGATGCAGAAATTGAGATCAAGTCACAAGCAGAAACACATTGGAAAGGTAGCCTGGATTTTCAAACTCTTATACTTAGATTCTTGATCAGAAGAGCTAAGAGGAATATATATCTATCTCATTTTTTTCAATGTATCTGATATTTATTAAACTATCACAATATTTTTCTACTTGGATACTTATTGCAAGTTTATTATGGGAATATATGTGTGGTACTCTCTATCAGCTCTTGTTCCAATATGAGCTATCTGTCTGGCATGAAACTGAAAATGTCCAGTTTGTTACACTGAAACAATACATGAAATACAGACCAGAATCCAGATGATTGGTTCACTGATAATTAAATATAGACATATTTTTATAACTTTCTGGGAGAATAAACATAATTTATCATTCATCATTTAAAACACAATTAAATAAATTAAGTAATTAAAATACAATTATTTTTAAGTCCCAGTTTCATGAATTCATGAAATTCCTTGACATACATACAGGATACAACTAGAATAACAGTAATTTTTGAATTTGGTATCATGTCATTAGGGAAGCTCATTTGTTGCACAGGTATACTAATTGGATATCAAACTAGACTAAACAAAAAATTCAATAATGTAATTGCAAAATATATAACCAGGAATAATATTACAATAGTATTGTAAGAGAATAAACATTTTCAGACCTGAGACTTGCTATTTTGCTTTTATTTTCAAAGTGGAAAATTACCTACAGACTTTTTTAAAAAAATGTTACACTTTTACTAAATGATTTAGAAATGCATTCATAAGAAATATCAGTAAGTAGATGTCCCTAATGTGAATGTAATTACAAGTAATTATAACTGTTGTTAAAATATAATAAGCTTAGGTCCAGAAACTCATTTTAGTGAATTGAGCAAATATAAAAAGTATCAGTAGTACAAAGAAAATATTCTGAATGGAGACAGTCATTCAGTCAACCAATCATTTCATAGCCACTCATCTCTCTTTTATGTGACTGTGGTACTTACAATAAAATAAGCATAATAGATACAATACAGAAACTAGGCTACACAATACAGAAAATAAAAATTAAACATATGGCAGCCAAACATTATCCATACAATCAACCATAAAGCCAGGATATAAGTTCCATCCCACACTCAGGACCCTAGGCTTTGGCACAAAATCACGTTTTCAAGGTCTTATGAAAGGCCAAAAGGCCCAGGACCAATCTACATATGAAAAGGATGAAGTTCCAAAGAGCAAATGCCATGGCAGAAAAGGGTCTCCTCACCACCCGATAATTGCTAGCTAACATTACCTGGAACTTTCCTGCTGGATTGTTCCTTCTGCCAGTTTGGATAAGATGGGATAAAGACAATTGAGGAGAGACACCCCAATAAGAATATTGATATCAATGATTACTTTCAAATGTTTTTCAGAGTTTTTGACATGATTCATCATAATTTTCTTTAAACCCATTTCAATTATGTGAGAATTTGCCTTCTTTAGATTGTTTTCTTTTGTTACTACAAACTCTGGGGTTCTAATGAACCAAATATTTTTTTTATTTCTGCATAATATTTTAATGATTTGTGCAATGGATTAATAAAGATAATAAGTTCAGTACCAAAGTATATTATGCTTTAAAATGTAGGAATACAAGGCAAACTTAGTTCTGAACTTAAGTGTATATATTTAAGCAAGATTTAAACACCTTTGCAACACTCTCTGATGAATAAAATCATGTAAATCAGATTCTTACATAATTTGTAAAAATGAAATGTATTTGCATAACATACAGCTTAATTCTCAATAAATATTTGCTTAGATTTTTTAAAATATGTTAACTACAAATAAATGCACTAATATATCAAGTTTTGTTGTTTCAATGAATAACAAATCACAGATTTCTTTTCATAGGCAGAAAAATATTCAGCTACATTAATTATTAACATTAACAATGTTAACAAGTTTTAAAATATAAAATAACAATTTTGTTTGCTTTTGTTTTAGTATGTATCACTATGTATATTTATGTAGATAATTTTATTTTTCAGTGGTGAGAGTATGTACTAACAAATAAGACTGTTTTTAAAGAAAATTTTAAAGAATAAGACTGTTTTTAAAGACTTGCAACTAATCAGTATCTTCCATAAAATGAGTAAGAAAAATAGAAGTCTCATCCCTGTATAAACTTTTAAAGAATTTTATTTATCTGGCCAAATCATTGTGCCTAAAGTTTAGAATAATTCTACAAATAAGTACTATTCAATATAGTTATTAATTTCTAATTAATGTGTATTTTTTAAAAAATAAATATAGCCTCCAGCATATTTTGTCCACTTTAAGCTACTGATAATGTTGAATTCATTGCTTTTGCTTTCGTTATCACAAGAAAGTTATATAAGCTTTTACCACACATGCAATTTAATTGCTAAACACGGAAATGCCATGAGTCTGATAAATGCTGTTTATTAACTATTACAATTACAGTCTCTTTATGAAGAAAATAAACTTATAAAATGATTTTACTTCACTAGTTTCCTGCAAATATTTATAATATGGAAACATATGTTTTTCATAATTAAGGCACTGAGATCACATGAAAAATATCTTTGCTTTTCATTAAATATAATTATGATATACCCTAGATGAGTTAGTTCTTAATGTATTTTTTTTTAAAGTAAAACAAAAGAAAGAAACTATGGTTTGGATTAGCTATCATATTACATCACAACTTATTTAAAGGTATAAGAAAGATATAATATTTTTGTCTATTTATTTATTTATTTGTCTATTTATTTATTTATTTATTTATGCATGCATGCATGCATGCTGATGACTGGTAATAAAACATGCAAACACATATATTATCTACCCTAAATTATTTTCAGGTAATTAAAACTGCTGGGGGAAATCTAACATTAGAAAATTAGTTATTCATGTGAAGCAGCCATGAGCTACAGTATTTGTAATTTATATATTTATTTTATTTATTTAAATTTGTTAGAACTGCCAAATTCACACGCACAAAACCAAAAAAACCTCATAAAAACATAATTATTTTGATCTCCTATGAATAAATAATTAATGCACATCTATGTTCCAAGAATCTGAACAAATATTTACCAGTGCAACAAGAGAAGATCTTCACAGCAGTTTTCAAATTAATTTTATCATGTTAGCTATCTTCCCTTGATAAATGATTTTGTGAACCCTATTTAAAGTTCTGATTTGAATAATTGTGTTTCTTAGCTTCTGGAATAAAATAAAATGAACTTGTCCATTTTTCCTCAGTCTCGGTAATGTTAACATTCATGGTTTTCCAAGTCAACATGAGCCAGTTTAAAGTAAAGTTTAGTATGTCCCAATTGTATTCAAGCTGATACTAGAATTCAATTTTATCCAAAATATTTTGTCTAAGAATAACCAAAATCTATTCTTGTTCTAGTTCCAGCAGCCTCTCAGGCAAAACTAAATTTCTTAATTCTGTCTCTGTTTTGCTCTAATTAATTATGCATTTCTTCATGCAACATTACAAACCAACCAATAAATGTTGAATATTGTTAGCTTCTTTTATCTTGTATTTTTCTAAACTCTGGCTGTCATAGAATATAGCCCATACCCCA